TCCTCCTCCTCCTCCTCCTGCCTCATGGGGGGGGAAGCTGTGCCGCTACCGCGGCGCGCCCCTCGTCGCCGCCGCTGGCTTCGCCTCGAGATATCCTGGGCCGAGCGTGCCCCAGGAGAGGCCCGCGTGGAGGAGAGGCATATCGGCACCCTCTTGCTGCCGCAGGTACCGGCGCAGACCCCCATCAGTTTTGCCAGTCGACGTGTGTCGGGGTTGGACAGACCTCCTACCCTGACACGTCGATTAAGGAATTGGCCGCTTTCGGTTCGCGAGAGGGCGTCGCAGCCGTCATTTTTGCGGGTCCAGGTCCGTCGATTTCGGTCCCAGGCCGTTTTCACTAAGGGGAGGTCTACTAAAGGGAGGTTTGTCCACCGCCGAGTGTGTTCTCGCTTGATGTGTTTGGCAGGCTTCAGGCGTCGATGAGCTATCCTGCGTGGGTGCACTCGGAATACCGTGCCGCGCTCACCCCTGGAGTGCAGCCGGCAGCCATCACTCGAGGTCGTTGTTGTGAAGGGGGCATTGTCCATTCTCGATCTCACCAGTTTCGGATGTTGCCAAAGGTGCCCCTGACCGCTGGGCACCGAGGAATTCTAGGGAGGCCCCGATGGCCTCCAGAGCATGCCTCACGATGTCAAGTTCTAGGTTGGCTTGACACATTGGCTCAACGAACTGGTCGGCCGACTGTGACCCCCCCAAAAAAGCACAACTGCTGGAGATACTGCATTTGAACGTGGTTAACTCCTGCTACACGTGAACTTGGCACATGGAGCTAAACATTCTTCAGCATACCAATCAATGGCAAGTCGAGCTAAACCGCCGAAGCTGCTAAAACGAGGTAGGCACACTTGCAACTACCAAGATACATGTTTAAGCTTCGGCACGCAGTTGCAACCACACTGCCACTAGTTCAACCTGTGGCGTCTCAGCTCCGTAACCATCCCGGCCAATAGAAAGCTCAACGCCTCCAGGTGAGGTAGCACGACTGCACCGTAGAGCTCATACGTCTTTTCCCTTCCCACCTGGGGACCGTCGTCGCCGCCGTCGCCGCCGCCGCCGGCCGGGGCTGCATCGTCGCCATCACCGTCGTCGTCGCCAATGTCGGTCCTCGTCGTCGCGGTCGTCGTGGCCGCCGCCGCTGGCCGCGGCCGAGAGGCCCGGCCGCTGGCGGCCGCAGCGCCGTCGTGGTCGTGGTCGCCTTGGTCGCCGTGGTCGCCGTGGTCGTCGCCGTCGTCGTCGTCGTCGTCGTCGTCGGTCGTCCGTCGTCGTCCGTCGTCGTCCGTCGTCGTCCGTCGTCATCGTCGTCCGTCGTCGTCCGTCGTCGTTCGTCGTCGTCGTCGTCCGGTGTCGTCGTCCGTCCGTCGTCGTCGTCGTCCGCCGTCGTCCGTCGTCGTCGTCCGTCGTCGTCGTCGTCGTCGTCGTCGTCGTCGTCGTCGCCGTCGTCATCGTCCGTCGCCGCCGCCGCTGGCCGCGGCCGCCGAGGCCCCCTCGGCGGGCCTCGGCGGCCAGGGCGCGGCTCGCCGCGGCGGAGCGCCCACCGCCGCACCGGCCGCCGCCCCGGCGGCCGTGCCGGCGGCCACGGAGCCCCTCGGCGCGGCGCGGGGGCGCCCGCTGCCGAGGCCCCGCCGCGACGGCGACGCCGCCGACACGCCGCCGTCGTGCCGAGGAGGACACTCAGAGACCGCCAGAGACCGCCGACACATGGTGGAAAGCCAAGGAGGCATTTCTCGGTTTTCGGTCTGCCCTCGCCGGGCCCTGGGACTGTCGAAAACGGCCCAGGAGGAGAAACAGGTCCCGCCGACGTCGTTGTCGTCGTCGTCGTCGTCGTCGTCGTCGTCGTTTTGCGTCGCTGCGGCTAGGCGCGGGTGCCCCCGCTGCTGAGGCCCCCCGAGGGGGCCCAGGATTGTGGGGATCACCAGAGCGCATCCCCGCCCCCGCAGCGCGAGGAGCAGAGGAGGTGGATGTGGAAGAGGGGGGAGGGGGAGGGAGGGGGGAGAGGAGGAGGAGGGAGGAGGAGGGAGGAGGAGGAGGAGGAGGAGGAGGAGGAGGAGGAGGAGGAGGAGGAGGAGGAGGAGGAGGAGGAGGAGGGGGAGGAAGAGGAGGAGGAGGACGAGGAGAAAGCCCTGCCTCGGGTTTCCTGTTCGCCGTCTCCGCGGACCCCTTCCTGAGGGACTTTGCCCGCTCGGTGCACGCCAAGAAGCTTGGCATATTCCGCGCCTGCGCTGACGACGTCGGCGGGCGCCTCTCCTCCATCCCCACGCTGAAGGTCATGAGGCGGGACTTCAGAGGTGCTGAGCGAGTTGCTGCACTGGTATTGAAGGTGGCCAAGTGCCACATCGTTCCTTGTGCAGGCGCATTCAATGACGAGCTGGCATCCGAGTACCGAGCAAGGCTGTCCTTGAACAGTCCCGAATGGCAGAATTTCAACATCGTGCCGTCGCTCGCGTACCTCGGGATGTGGCTGGGCCCGCGAGTACTTCTCGAGAGCTAGTCTGCTCCGATGCGCAGGTGGCAGCAACGTTGTCAACTTCTCGCCCTGATTGCCTCCCCTCATCGAGTGAAGGCGCTCAATCGCAGTACCCGTCTCGTATCTGTGCTCAGCTACGTTGCGCAATTCATGCCCTTGCCAAGTGCTCTTCTGCCCCAAGAGGCAGCCGTGCTGGCAAGACTGTGGCACACCGCCCACTGCGCCCTCCCCCGGGGGGGATGGTTCTACCTCTGGCGCTGGAATCGTCCTCACTTCCCTGGTCTGCTTGTCTCCACCACCGCCGCTCTTGTCCGCTCGAGCCTCCGCACCGTCCTCTCCTGGCGCGACATGCTTCCGCTGCTCAGAGCTGCTGCGGAAGATGCCGCTGCCCTCCCGGCCCGCAGAGTGCTGCGAGGCCGGTTTTCTCCTGATGTTTGGCGCCAGCCGTCCCTCGCCGAATTCTTCGAGGCTGCCGCGGAGAAGTTTCCGCGACCCCTCGGGACGGACCTGGTCACTTCCACCGCTGCTGCCTGTGACTTCCTCTCTTTCGACTGCTGCTGCGATCGCTGCCGTCCCTCCTCCGCCGCCTCCGCCCCCAAACGGACCAGGTCCCCCCAGGCTTCCTGAGATCCGAATTCAAGGTACCCTCGCTACGGCCCTGCTGGGCTATCGTTTTCCCGATCCTCTGGTTAACGTATTCGTCGCTCGCCTGGCGAGCTGGCTCCCGTGTTCCGACAACGACGTTCGCAGATGGCCGTGGCGAGAATTCCAGGCCGTCCTCCTGAAGGCTACCCTTGTGACAGCTGGCGCAGTCCTGAAGATATTGATCCGTGGCTGGACCACGGAAGACCGCTTCCAGAAGAGCTGCGCGTGCCTTTTCGGATGCACGCCGAGTGGTTTAGATCCGAATCGCGACGCCCTCGGCCACCATTGGTCCTGTCCTCGCTGCTCTGCCATCCTCTCCCGTGTCCTGAACGTCCCCTCTCTTCCCGGCTGCCCAATCTCTCGTCTTGGCCTGCGCTCTCCCACCATCCCATCGATCGACACGCCTGGTGCTGCAGCACGGCCGTATAATGCTGTCAGCGCCGAGAGGGCGACAGCGCCCACTCTCCTCTCCAACTCCGAGCCTCGGGCTCGCGCGCTGGCCGCCACCGTGCGCTGCCAGCTCATTCGGCGAGAGGAGGAGGAGGAGGAGGAGGAGGAGGAGGAGGAGGAGGAGGAGGAGCCAACTCCCATGCCAGCAGTGCTAGTGCGAGGAGGAGGAGGAGGAGGAGGAGGAGGAGGAGGAGGAGGAGGAGGAGGAGGGGGACCAGGATCTATCATGCGGACTGCTGCAGCAGGCCAGGCTCCCGAAAGGACTAGCAAGCAGGGACCTATAGACTATAGCAATTGGCGGGCACACGAGGCCCGCGCAGAACCTCGAAAAACGACGCTGCAGAGCCAGAGCGCACGTTGCAATGTCAGCACAGGCGGCAGGAGCGTGCACGCTCCTGCCGGGAGACCAGCCGAGAAGCCGCACCCATCGGCGGGTGTCCACAGCCACGGCGTTTTCCTCAGGACGTCCGTCTCGTCCGCGGCTGCACTTCGCCTTCGGCACCGCCTGTTCCCGGGGCTTTGCCCCCTCTTGGCCTTGACGTGAGGCCCCTCCTTCTGTTGTCCTCCCTCTGTCAATTAAAGCTGTGCGCGGCCCGCTTAGCTTCGACCGGAAGAGGCTCGCTCTCGACCCGCGGATCAAAAAAAGTCTCGTCCGCGCCGTCAGATCGGCGACAGAGCAGCTCGCAGTCCGAGTCCGAGAGCGCCCTCGCGTCCCGCATGGTCAGAACCCGAGCCACCAGGCGCCTTTTCGCGCCCGAGGGTGCGGAACCCGTCGACGCGACGGGTCCAGGGGAAAATCCATTCCTGCCGCCTCAGCAGTGGCGGGCGCATCTGAAAGTGCAGCGGTGGCAGAGTCACTCCCGCGCACGTGCGTCGAGGGGTCGGCCGAGCCCGCCGCCTCAACCGAAGGAGGCGGCGCCAAGACGGCATCGGCGTCAAAATCGGACCCATCGTTCGATCCACCATGGCATCCAAAGTGCTGCAATGATCCCGCCGACCCCGCCGAAGGAGAGTGCGTCGAAATGGCATCGGCGGCAAACTTGGATCCTTCGCTCAGCACTCCCCCATCGAACCCCACATGCCCGCAGCAGTCATGGTGCTCTTGCGAAGAATCGGGAGCAGGCGCTTGGCGATCCTCGACCAACGGAGGCATTTTCAAACATCCACCATACTCCCCTCCGAATCCGAGATCGTGCGTTACCGACTCTCCCGAGAGTGCCTCGACCCAAGGATGCATCTCAAAAACACCATCGGCAACAAGACAACATCCAAGATTGGGCATCGAAGTCACGGCGGAACCCGCCTCGACACACGGAAGGATCTCTTTGGGGCGAGTTTCAGTTGGCTGTTCAGCCAAATATGAGTTTGAAGAGCGAGCCTCAGAAAGAGGTTCGGCCAAACATGCGATTGAAGAATTTCTTCAACTGGTGGGCGAGCCCCACACGGAGGCTCAGCCAGACACGCACTGAAAGAATACTCTGCAGACTCCTTATGTTTCTTTGATCTTCTCTGCCAGCCCGCACGATCGCCGATGAAGATTTCCTCGACCTTCACTTTCGCCTTGGCGGGGTGCGCACAGTCCGTGCCGGTGGAGGCGGGGGCGGCACAGGCGCCGCAGAATTGTCGATGATCCTCAGGACGGGTTTAGTCCAATGTGTGTTTATCCATTTTAGCCCAGCCGGTAGAGCCTTACATCGCCTGCGTCGTATCGAAGGGCCTCGATGGACAACACACACGTGGCGCTAACACACGTCCTGAGGATCATCGGAACTGCGCGAGGCAGCCTCGCCTGGCGGGGGTCCCATCGGCCACTCCTTCACGATCCGTGCTGGCGGCGGCGGCATGGGCGCCGCGGTGCTGCTCGAGGCAGCCTGCGCTGGCTGGCGGGCGTGCGGGCGGCCTCTCCCTGAGGCCCCTTTTGGCCTCCCTCGAGGCGGACGCCCTCCGCCCTCTGCGGCTTGCGTTCCCAAGGGAGCGCCGCCACGGCTTGGCCTCGGCCGCCGCCGGAGCCGCGGGCGGCGCGTCGGAAGCACAGCCACTCGGAGCAGCAGGCGGCCGCGGCCGCGCCTCGGGAGCAGCTGCCGGTGTCGGAGGCCAGGGGCGCCGGACTTCCGCGCCCTGCCTGAAGGTCTCCCAGCCCAGAGACACGTGCTGCGCCAGCACCACTGCATCAACTACTGCCGTTAGAACTTGAATAAGCAATTCCGGCACATGAAGCAACATAAGATGGAGGAAATAGCGCCGCAAATGGGACGCGGAGGCATTCCCTCATTGTAAGCGCAAGTTCTACAAAACAAGACCCTCGGAAAATACGTTCGGGACAGCCGCACCGTGAAACTTCTTGGGAACTGTCGGGGCTGCAGGCGGTACCAGGCCCACTTGCTTCGGGTTGACCTCCACAGTTAAGTCGGGCCTATCCCCCTACAGGGGGATTATCGGCGAAAAACAAAAAATACTCCAAAATAATCAAAAAATAATACAAAAATCGTCTGGGGACTATTTTTAATATTCATGTTTGATCTTTTTGGTGCATTTTTGGAGTATTTATGATTTTCCATATAAAATCTCCCTGTAGGGGGACACGCCCGACATACTCCACAGCAGCCTCCAGGCCTGCAGGCTGGGCCGGCAGTGCCTGCGGGGCCGACGCCTATAGGCCACGGCAGCCTCCAGGCAGTTCCACCTCCGCAGGCGCTTGAGCGGCTGAACCCTTGGCATCGCTCGGACGTGTGCATTTTTTCTCGGCGAGAACCATCGAGGACCATCCTGGACCATGGAGCAAAAAAAAACACGCAGGAAACCGGAACATGCACGGGAAATGGACGTCCGAGCGACGGCAGGAACCACTGCCTCCGGCTCCAGCGGCAGGGAGGTTGGCGCCGGAGGCCGCTGGTCCCGCCCTTTGTTGAACCCCTTTTGTCCACCACATCGGAAGGGCTCCATATCCCCGGCGGCGGCGCCAGATCCGACCGGCAAAAAAGACGATCCGGCCGGCAACGACGACGCATTCGAGCCCGTCGTCGGAGACCCCGAAGCCAACGCCGAGCGGGAGGCGGACGCGGGAAGCTGCCCGAGCCCGAGCTGTGAGCGAGGAGGAGCAGGAGCAGGGGGAGGGGGGGAAGGAGGCAGCGGCAGAGGCGCAGGCCGACGACGAAGAGGGGGGGGAGGGAGCCTGACCTTCGAGAGTGCTACAAAGTAGCCGTCCAGACCTATGACCTATCTGGGCTGCCTAAAACCTCCACAGGAATTAAGACATCGAGGTCCTGGTGCTATTTTTCAGCCCTCCTGGAAGGTCAGGAGGAGGAAGGGAGGGAGGGGAGGGAGGGAGGGAGGGGCCGGCGCCCTGGGAGACCCGGTGGGGAAAGGGCCCTCCCGCCCGAGGGCTCCAGAGCAGCAGTCCCCGCTGCAGCCGCGCCAGCTGTGTCACGCGCGCTCGGCGGGGAGCCTGCCAGCGGAGGAGGGCCCGCCGCGGGGCCTCGTCCTCGAGAAGGTGTCCCTCTTCGAGGAGCTGGCTCTGGCGGCGCTGGTGATGCTGGTGGTGATGGCGATGACAACGCTGGGAATGAGGATGCAGAGGATTATGATGATGATGATGATGATGATGATGATGATGATGATGATGCTGACGATACTGACGATAATGATAAGGAGAAGGAGGAGGAGGAGGAAGAGGCTGAGAAAAAGGAGGAGGAGGAGGAGGGGGAGGAGTAAGAGGAGGAGGGAGGAGGCGGGGCAGGTCCAGGTTGAGGATGAGGACGAGGATTGTGACGATGATGCTGTTGATGATTTGTCGGTGATGATGCTCCTGCCGATGATGATGTTGATGTTGATGGTGCTGCTTGTGGCGATGATGATGATGGACATGATACCGTTGACGATAATTGTGCTCGATGATGACGATGATGGTGATGATGATACTGATGATGATGGTGATGATGATGATGTTGATGATGATGATGATGCTGATGATGATGATGATGATGGCGATGAGGATGAGGATGGCGATGGCGATAATGAATGATGGTGTTGATGCGGATGCATCTGATGATGCTGATGATGATGGCGATGATGTTGATGTTGATGGTGGTGATGATGATGATGACGATACGGCTAATGATGATGATGATGGTTCTGGTTGTGTTAATGATGATGGTGATGTCGATGTTGATGATGATGGTGACGATGATGACGATGCTGATGACGATGATGATGATCATGCTGGTGCTGATGGTAATGACGACGATTATGATGCTGATATTGATACGGATGATGAGGATGCCGATGATGCTGATGATGATGATGACGCTGATGACCCTGACGATGATGTTGGTGGTGATGCTGATGATGGCGAGGAGGACAAGGAGGAGGGGAGGAGGAGGACGACGATGATGATGATCATGCTGACGATGATGGTGTGCCGACCTCCTCCTTCTCCTCCTCCGCTTCCAGGGTCTAGATTCAAGAGTTTTGTTCAGCGCGTCGCGGCGCGGAAGGGTTTCAATCAGAGGGTGAAGTGGCCAGATAAGTTCGGGAATCATTCGGAGGTTTCCTTGCCTCGGGATGATTTCGTGCACTTGCGCCTCGACGAGGATGGTTCCGAGGATGCCTGAAGCGTCCCGAACGTTTCCTGGAGACCCGAGTGACACACGACCCGAGAGCGTCCTGACCTCGGAGGAGTGCCAGCCGATATTGTCTGCGCCCACGGAAGTTTCTTGTTGCCTCGCTCTGGCGTTTTGTTTGCCCGTCGTATTGGGCTTCCTTTTTGGCGTCCCTCCCTGTCGTTTCGTTGACGCTGGTTCGTCCTCGAGCAGGAGGGGGCAGAAGCATGGAGGAGCATGGAGGAGGAAGGAAGGGTTGGAGGAGGAGGAGGAGGAGGAGGAGGAGGAGGAGGAGGAGGAGGAGGAGGAGGGAGGAGGGTGGAGGGAGGAGGGGGGGGGAAGGAGGAGAATGGGGAGGGGGGAAGGAAAAGGTGGAAGGGACGAGGAGGAGGAGGAGGGGGGGGGATGGGGACGAGGGGGGGGGAGGGGGAGGAGGACCTGGCCGAGCGAGCTGCGCCACAGCCTCCGAGGAGCGCTGCCGGAGCCAGACGCCCATGTCGCGCAGCGGCGCCAGCGCGCGGGGCCGCAGCGCCGCGCCCGGGGGCTCGCCCGCGGCGCGCCCGGCCTCGCGGGGCCCCGGGCGCCGCGCTGGACCGCCAGCGGAGGACGCGGGGACTCCCCGAGGGCCTCCCAGGAGGGGGGCAACGATGGGGGGGAGCCATACCCCTTCCCCCCCCTCCTCCTCTCCTCCCCCCTCCCCCCTCCCCCCCTTCCCCCTTCCCCCTTCCCCCTCCCTCCTCCCTCCTCCCTCCTCCCTTTCCTCCACCTCCCTCCTCCTCCCCCCTTCCTCCTCCGTCCACGTCCCTCCTCCCTCCCTGCCTCCCTGCTCCCTCCTCCTCCCTCGTCCCTCCTCCCCAATCCCCTCCTCCCTCTCTTCCCTCCTCCTCCCTCCTGCTCGTCCTCCTCCTCCCTCCTCCTCCTTCTCCTGCTCCTCGGACTGGACTCATCGTGGCCGCCCTCGCATGTTGAAGCCATGTCTATTATGGCTGGCCAGTGACTCCAGCCGTCGAAGTGTGTCCTGGTCCGGCTATGGGGCATCTTGTCAGGAACAGACACTGTAGCTCTCTGCGTGGAGCTGGGCATTCTCATGGAGGACTGGGAAGACTTTCGAATGGCGGGCTTCATGAAATACTTGGGCGTCAAGCTCGACCCAGGCGCAACGAACGAAATGCGTTGGGCGGAGGCGGCAGGCAAGTACCAATTGCGCTTTTGCTTACTCCGGGACTGCCCAGCGCCCACCGAGGTGATCGTGCACGACTATAACTCGGCGGCGCTGCGCGTGCTGATCTACCTCATGCAGCTCTTCGTTCTTCGTCACCGACCCCTGGCTATAATTCAGCGAGCTTGATGGTTTACATCGTGCCCTGCGATGCTCACTGAAGCCACTCACCAGGAACGATTTGCTTAGCATGAGGCGATGGGTGTCCATGTCGTCACTTCGAAGCTTGCCCTGTCATTCGCTACGGCGCGGCGCGCAGCAGCGGTCACCATGCCGACGTGTACGCGGTGGCTAGAAAGCTTGCGCGAGCATGGGGCTCGAGGAGGGATTGGCGACACAAGTTGTGCAGGGTTTGTGCCCTCCCCCGTTTTGGAATGAACAACGTGCCATGGTCCAGACGTTCGATGACCACTCCGTTGTAACAACGTTTGCGCGGCAGCGGCTCTCAACAGGGCTTGGCGGGAGCTCGAGCAGCATGCGAGGCGTGCCCATGGGCGCGACAGCGTGCCCATCTAGAAGGCGATCTACCAGTCCATCGCCCAGGAGCTTCATGACGATTCCTTCCACGTGACCATCGGGATGAGATTGGAGAATTTTCTGGCTGAAGAGGTCGGGCCGGTGCCAGGCGACCTCCAGGATAGTTGGTATCGTTTCCGCGCCACCCTTGCTACCCTGAAGCATGGGGCGGGCTGGGCAGGGGTGAAAATCTCTGGTGGGGCCTGGCCGACAAGCCACCGAATGCACGTGTTGTACGAGCGACTGGCGTGCAGGTTCCGTTGCCAGGACGACAGATGTCATTACCTCCGATGCCCGCGAGCGTGGCATTTGGTTTCCCTTTTGGGATGGATCCCTTCAGCACGTCTGATTGTCCGACTCGGCCTCGGGCTTCCGGTTGAGCAGGTCGTGCCCTCCTCCTCCTCCTCCACATCTTTCCTTCGCCTCCTCGTTCCTTCTCCTTGTCCTCTTTCCTCCTCCCTCCTCGCTTTTCCCTTCTCCCAGGCTTCGCGGGGTCTTCCGACATGATCCTTGAAGGGTCCCTCCCCTTGAGCTTGTCCCCCCTGAGGCGATCCCCCGTGAGCCTGCCCCACCCGAGCCTATCCCTCTCTGGGCCTATCCCCCGCTGGGCCTACACCCTGAGCCTGGGAGGGGGGCGAAGCGGGGAGGGGAAGGGAGAAGGAGGAAAAGCAGGAGGAGGAGGAGGAGGAGGAGGAGGAGGAGGAGGAGGAGGAGGGAGGATGTGATAAAGGAGGAGGAGGAGGAGGAGGAGGAGGAGGAGGAAGCAGGGAGGGGGAGTACGGAGGGGGAGGGAGAGGAGGGGAGGAAGGAAGAGGGAGGAGGGAGGAGGGAGGAGGGGAGGAGGGGAGGGGGGAGGGAGGAGGAGGAGGGAGGAGGGAGAAGAAGGAGGGAGGAGGGAGGAGGCAGGAGGCAGGAGGAGGAAGGCCGGAGGCAGGAGGTGGGAGGAGGAGAGGAGGGAGAAGGGAGGAGGGAGGAGGGAGGAGGGAGGTGGAGGTGGGAGGAGGGAGGAGGGCGGGGGGCGGGGTCGGCAGCCCATGGCAGCGCGCCCATGGGGAGAGGGGGCCTCGCGCCTCGCGCCTCGGCCCTCGAGCCTCAGGCCCTCGGCCCCTCGGCCCCTCGGCCCCTCGAGCCCCTCGAGCTCTCGAGCCTCGGCCCCTCGAGCCCGCGAGCCTCGGCCCCTCGAGCCCTCGGCCCCTCGGCCCCTCGGCCCCGCGGCCCCTCGGCCCGTCGGCCCCGCGGCCCCTCGGCCCCTCGGCCCGCGAAGCGCGCGCGACGAGGGGGGGGGGGCCCGGCCACGACCCAAGAGAGGTCCGCGCCGGGGGGCGCGGCCTCCCCTGGGTGGGGGGTTGCTGGAAAGGTTCGGCGACACGTGAGGGTAACCTTTCGCCGGCGTGACCTTTGGTGCGGGCCCACTGGCCCCCCGAACGCCAAACGCGGCGCGGTAGTAGCAGTCTGCGCGCTTGTGTTTGGCCCCTGCGCGGCCCCCGGAAAACCGCGCACCAGTGGGCACTCTTACCCAGGGCCACTCTTGCGTGTAGTCGAAAGGTGCCCCTGGCCCAAGGTACCGCCATTGTTTTGGTCTATTCTGGAGCTTCTTGAGCCTCGTGAGGGGCTCTCTGCAGGCCGCGGGGGTCTCCCAGGCAATCCTGAAGGGCACCTTGGGCGAAGGGCACTTCTAGCACTACCCGGCTAGGAGGATGCACCAAATTCGGTACCGGCGCTAGTAGGTTGAAAACACCTGATCCGGCATAGCCCCGTTATGTGTTCCGTTGAGTTGCGTTTCATCAGGCTTGATCGCGCTTTGTCCTGGTCTATTTGTGGGCTACTTCGGTTTAGTGTTATGCCGCCCCGGGCAAAGAAACCGGTGACCAGGCGCGGGCGATGTGCGAAATCAAAGCCATTCGGGAGTACGAGTGTGAGACAGAGAAAAAGTGGAAGTTTCAAAACAACTATGGACAGCATATCAATATAATTCCCATTATGTCGTCAAACAGTTTCCCAACCATGTTCAAACCGTTGTGGAAGTTTCTAATCTGAGGGAGCTTGCTTGAAACTGTTTTTGAACTTGTCAAATGTACAAAGGTGGCGTACTTTGTTCAATTTTTCGAACTAACTCATTCAAACTTCCAAATCGGGGCGTATGCGTTTCATTGTGGTCGAACTTGTTTCTAGCGTGTTTCAAACTTCAAACAATCTGGGCGGCGTACTTTTATCAAACTGACTCAAACGTTCTCCAACTTTCTCCATATTCTGGATCCGGGCGTGTTTGTTTTAAACTGCTTTATTTTCGAATTTCCAAGTTTGAGCGCACTTGCTTCAAATGTGACCAACACTTGTTTCCAACTATTTGATCTTCTGGGCACAGTTTCCCCGAACTTCCATATCCGGGCAAACTCACACTCATACTTCACCCGTTTCGCGATTTCAGTTCTCCCAACTCTCCTGTGGTGTTGGGTCCTCGTTTTTGAAGAGAGAGAGAGAGAGAGAGAGGCAAAACAAAAGAAAGTGCCTCGCGTTCCTTCTTCCTTTCTCCTCCTCCCCCTCCTCCCTCCTTCCTCCTCCCTGCATGCCTCTGACCTCCGCATGTCCATGTCGGCACGCCCCTCACACGGTTCGTGGCCACATAGGGAGCTTGACCGAAGGCCCCAGTGGCAGCGTCCACATGCGCCCTCCCCGCCCACCGCATGCCAATTTCGGAACAACCCTCAAACAGTTCGTGGCTCCAGCGTTCACATGCGCCCTCCCCGCCCGCCGCATGTCCATTTCGACACACCCCTCACACGGTTCGTTGCTCCATAGGGAGCTCCACCAAGGCCCCAGCGGCAGCGTCCACATGCGCTCTCCCCGCCCGCCGCACGCCCATATCGGCACACCCCTCACACGGGTCGTGGCCCCATAGGGAGCTCCACCGAAGGCTCCGTGGCAGCGTCCACATACGCCCTCCCCGCCCACCGCGTGCCCATGTCGGCAAACCCTCCACACGGGCGCACGGGTCGTGGCCACATAGGGAGCTCCACCAAGGCCCTAGCGGCAGCGTCCACATGTGCCATCTCAGCCCACCGCGTGCCCACTTCGGCACACCCCTCCCACGGTTCGTGGCCCCCTAAGGAGCTCCACTGAGGCCCCAGTGGCAGCGTCCACATGCGCCCTCCCCGCCCGCCGCACGCCCATATCGGCACACCCCTCACACGGTTCGTGGCCTCATAGGGGGCTCCACCAGGGCGACTTCTTTGTTCTCCCCCCCAGGCAGGATGCCTTGATCCTCCGGGCCGGTTTCTCCCCTCGAGCTTTTTTTTTGATGCTGGCCTCGTGGCCCCGCGAGGGCCTCCGAGAGCCGACGTCGGCGGAGCGCGCACGTCGGCCGCGTCGGCCGCGTGCGACCGCCGCGCGGGCGGTCGCCCCAAGAGAGCCCCGGGATCAGAGGCGACGATAGGGGTGGGTAGCCCAGGGGAGAGCAATGCACGTATTCAGGGGAGCCGATGATCGATGTCTTCGACGAGGCTCCCGGGCGAATACGTGTGATTCCCGCCCCTGGGCTATTCGCCCTCATCGTCGCCGCCGACGGAGGGAGGCGAGGCACCTGGCCCCGGAAGCAGCACAGGAACAATGGTATAGGCGGGAGGGGAGGGAACCCGGGCGGGGCTGGAGGACGAGGATCGATCCCGTTCCAGATCGTTCCGGGACGCTCTCGGAGCTTTCCAGAAGGCTCTGAGAAGGCCGTCCTCCAGAGCCGTGGGATCTCCGAGATTCCCGATTGATCTTCACCCGATGTTGTCTTCGTTCTGGCTTTGGCTTTGCCGTGAGGTGGGGCGGAGGGCGCCTGTGTCTCATCTCATCGTGAACATAAGACACCCTAACCCTAATGGCACGATGAGGACGTGGCCTCACTGAGGTTCTCGTCTCCGCACTATGGATAATACATCTCGGCGGCTTGGTTCGACACATCTGCAGAAAGACCCCCTATCCCCATAATGTTTTTGGCCCTCGTAACTTCCCAGACCCCCGACGTCGTGATTTTTTTCAGCGTCGACCCTCAGAGGTCTGGACCCCTTCCCCAGGACCGGTTTTTCATCCTGAGTCGTTTTGTGTCGGTCCCGGGGCCCGGCGAGGGCCCCCTGGAGGCTGAAATTAGCGAAGAACTTCCCGTCGTGATTTCGGGTCTGGGCCAGGTCCCCTCCCAGAGGGTCAGCGTTTTTCTTTTCGTGGAGCATCCTCCGGCAGGAGTCCGAGTCCTGGTGCTCGCGGGCCGTCGCCGCTGCCCCGACCGCTGCCTACCTGCCGTCCCGGCCGGCGCCGTCGACCGCCCGGGAGGCGCCCGCGCGCGTTGCTGGCCTGAGGCCGCTCTGCCTGCAGGCGCCGCCCCCCCCCCCCGGCCGGGCCCGCCTCGGCTGCTGGGATCCCCAGGTCCGCAGCGTTTGACCCATCCCGATCCCCGTCTCCATCCCCCCGCCCAGATCCCCAGACCCCCTCTACCCATGACAAAGAATCACGACGGCGGGTTCTTCGCTATGCCCGGCCTCTGGGGGCCCTCGCCGGGCCGCGGGGCCGTTCGGGCTGAGGTACCGGTCCCGGGGAATGGGTCCGGACGTTTGGGGGTCGCGTCATGCAAAAATCATGACGTCGGGGGTCTGGGTCCCCAGCATCCCACCACCCTGGTTGGGGATATGCCCCTCGAAACTTGAAGGCAAGAGCCTATATCCCCATCCAGGGGGGATAAATCGGCCAGTGGGGCCCAGGCCACGCCCGTGGGGATAGGGATCGGTTGAACGATGCTCACCATTGGAGGTGCTAAATGGATAGGGGGTGTACTACAGTGCAAACCCATGCCAAGAAACACCCTGCGTGCCTGCAGGGTGCCCTGGGTTTCTTGGGTATCGATGGTTTTGCAATGGAAAGCGTGATTTTCCCACACCAAAATTCAAAGGACGTCCTGGGGTCTCAGTGTTAGGTTTCTGGTGGAAGGTTTCTTGTGGTCGAGCTCCTACTGCAGTGAATGCCAAGGTGGTGTATACCTGGCCGAGCTCGGCCTTGAAGTGGGTTAGAAGTGTTCTAAGCGGCCTCGGAGGGGGGGAGGATCCGGGCCAAGTGGGCTCCGCCCACTTAGCGGCGTCAGCGAGCCCACCCAAGCCACTCAGGGACTTTGTAGCCCGCTTATAAGCTGTCATGGCGCCAACTTCGGACAGCCGATTTCGTTCGGTAAAAAATAGAATGGGCCCGGAGTGTAGTGGAGAATTTCGTTCCGGATTGCGAAGTGAATTCCGTGTGGATTTTTTTGGCGAGGGGTGAACATAAGAAGCCCATGTGGAAGTCACCTTGTTTTTCGCTCGCCGTTTCTGGTTTCCGACAGAAATCCACGCAAACATCCGCTACAGCACGTCTGCAAGGTCGGTGCAGTTAAACTCAGGGCACTTGCAGCCCACTTCTAAGCTGGCTTTGGCGCCATTCATAACCCGCCTGAGCATCCACCCACCCCCCGATCCACTCAGCCACTCAGCAATCCCCGCGCTGTTTCAAATGCGAGCGGCAAGCACATCGTGGAAAGCTCATTAGCCAACACAACGAATTCGTGGCCGAACTTCGGTCCTCGCTCTTTAGGGCTATCCCCAAACATGTGGGCGGTTTCGTCTGTGGCCTCTGCAACAGAGACCCCCTATCCCTCATCATGCTTGCTCTCCTAACTGAGGGCCCCTCGCAAAGGATTAGTGGTGCTTCTATTGCTGATCGGAAAGCAGCAAATGCAGGATATCCACTTCTGCTCGTCAGTCTCGGCGTCTGGAGATCGTTTTCGGACGCCGGGGCCGTCAGGCCATCAGAGATCGGTCGGGGATGAGGAATTGGCCCAGAGGATCCCCAGGTGGTCTGCGTGGAGCGATGTCGAGCGGACTGCATCCACCATATCTACATTTGTGCCCCCGCGGTCTGGAGACGGAGGCTCGATCCCATGGATACGTTCCGCGAGGGGCATCCTCACAGAGGCCCCCCTGTATCTGTGGGGTCGTGACGGAGTGGTCTGGACCGCGAGTCCGTGGATAATGTGTTTCCCGCGGCTCGAGGGTTGAGGGTTTGGAGGTTGGTTTGAGGCATCCAGGGATCTCCAGGGAACTCTCGCGTTGACCTCTAGAGGCTTCGTCCTCCCCTGTGGCGGCAGTTCGCTCTCTTCTTGCTGCTCCAGCGCGGCCAGGATCTTCACAAAGCTCTTGAGTCAGGTTGGTTCTATAGTTTCGGGCCAGACGACAGGGGGGGATAGGGAAAGGGGGGGGTACGAAATTTGCTGCATGCAGCTGGTTTCAGCCCCACCGAGGGGCCCATTCCTCGATACATGGCCGCCTCCAGCGCTGGGAGTCGCCGGGAAAATGAGGTAAGTGAGCTGATTCTCAGAACCCCCCTTTTGCTATCCCCCCCCTTCGCCCGGCCCGATCGTTGTCCTGCTCGGGGCTTTGTGCCACCGCCTCCCAGGAGCAGCCAGAAACGGGCACCGCCGTGAGCAGTGCATCTATTGCTGTGCGCGGCCCCCTGCGCGAGGCCCTGCGCTGCGAGGCCGACGACGACGCGGGCGAGGGCCAGCCCTTCATGGGCATGTCCCCCATCCACAAGGCAGGCCGGAGGGGAAACGGGGCCTGGAGGACAGGGGACACGGAGCCTGCGCCTGTGCTCCTCGTGGGGTTAATACACATTACCTTGACCTTCCAGGAGGGCTAAAAAATAGCACCAGGACTTCGATATTTAAAAGAGCGTGATCCACCGCCTCTTTCCTGTGGAAAATTCCCCCCTCCCCCCCTCTTCCTCCGGAGCCTGGGAGTCCCCCCCCCCTCCCAAAATCCCCCCCCCCCCCCTGCTGGACCCCCTCCCCCTCCCCGACCCTTCTTCCGACAAAACCCCCCGCCCCCTCCAGAAAACCGGGGGGGGGGGTCACTTTCCGGTTCGAACCCCCCCCCATTCCCTCCCCCTCGGAAAACCGGGGGGGTCACTACTGGTTCGAACCCTTCCCCCCTCCCCATCCCAGAAACCCAGAGAAAGGTCACTGTACTGGTTCGAACCCCCCCCTCCAGAAAACCGCCGGAGGGGGGTCACTACCGGTTCGAGCCCCTCCCCTCCCCTCTCAAAAATTTGGGGTGGTCACTACCGGTTCGACCCCCCTCCTCCCCCCCGGTTCGAACCCCCCCCCTCGAAGAAAACCAGGAGGGGGTCCATGCCGGTTCGACCCCCACCCCCCCCTCGAAAACCGGGGGGTTGTCACTACCGGTTCGAGCCCCTCCCCCCCCCCCACGCTCACCGCCAGCAAGCGACTCCCGGTCCCTACCACCGTCCACCCCACATCCCCCACTGCTGTCCCCAGCACCACTGTTCTCACCACCACTGTCCCACCACCGTCCCTACTGTCCCCGCCAGTGCCCCCGCCACCGTCGCACTGTCCTCACTATCCCCACCACTGTTCCCACTACGGTTCCACTCTCCCCACTTCCTCTACGCCCCCAACCACTGCCCGACTGTCCCCACTGTCCCCACTGACCCACTGTCTCCTCCGCTTTCCCACTGAGCTGTCCCACTGTTCCCACCACTGTCCCCACTGTCCCCACCACTGTACCTCTGTCCCATTGTCCCACCGCCGTTCTCGCCACCGCCCTCACCACTGTCCCCACCACCCCTGTACCCTCCACTGTCCCATTGGTTCCACCACATTCCCACTGTCCCCACACCACTGTCCCCACCACCACCGTCCCCACCACTGTCCCACTGTCCCCACTGTTCCCACCATTGTCCCCGCTGTCCCCACCAGTGCCCCCACCAGTGTGTCAATGCCGCCGCTCTCCCCACCATTGTCCCACCACGGTCCCACTCTCCCCACTTTCTCCACTGTCCCAACCACTGTCCCACTGTCCCCACTGTACCCACTACTGTCCCACTGTCCCCGCCGCTGTCCCACTGTGCTGTCCCAGCGTCCCGTAGTGACCCCACCCCCTGTTTTCGAGGGGGGGCGGGGGTCGAACCGGTAGTGACCTCCCCTCCGGTTTTCGAGGGGGGGGGGATGGGGGGTCGAACCGGTAGTGACCCCCCCCCCCTTTTCATGATGGACTGGGGGGGGGGGAAGTGGTTCGAACGGGTAGTGACCCCCCCCCGGTTTTCCGGAGGGGGGGGGGTTCGAACAGGTGGTGACCCCCCCCAGTTTTCCGCCAGCAGCGGTAGAACACGCTCTTTCCGATATTTTAATTCCTGTCGAGGTTTTAGGCAGCCCAGATAGGTCTACAGGTCTTGGGGGCTAATTTTTAGCACTCTGCAAGGTCAGGGTAATCGGCATCCCCAAATAGGGGAGGAACAAAACTGAATAAGCATAAACTTTCGGCGCTCCGACCTGTGTTCTTGGATCGGTGTCGCACCCTCCCTCCCTGGCACGCGGAGCGCGCCAGGGGGCGGCGCCAGAGGCGCCACCCGGGGGGCCTCAGCGCCGATCCAGGAATTCCGCGCGGAGCGCCGAAAGTTCACGTTTATGCTATTTGTTTTTTCTCCAATCGAACTTCTGGCCGCGCCGCCCCAGGAGTCCGGCGCAGAGCGGGCGCTGCCGCCGCTGGCGCAGCTCCCCTCCGGGGCCATGTCCGTGCCGGCCACGTGGGATCGCGGCACAGGCTCGGCGGCGCGCTTGAAAGGGGGTGCGGTAGGTTCGCGTCGTGTCGACCGGCGACGACCCCGCCGCGGGCGTTCAAGGTTGAACGTCGCCAGTGGCCCAGAATCGGCCTGCATGGAACGATCGGGCGATCGGAAAGCCGCCGATCGTTCAAGGTTGAACGATCGACGCTGAACGATCGACGCGGTGTCAGAGACCAACGCCAGGGTCGCCACGACACGAACTTGCCGTGGGGCGGTGGGGCCGCGAGTAGTCAAGTCGGCTGCGCGCCACCGGGCGGTGCCAGGACAGGGAAGGATACATCGGCGGACTTGGAGCCGCCTGGGGGCTTGAGCCCTGACCTTCCAGAGTGCTAGAAGATAGCCCTAGACTGATCTGGACCGCCGACAACCTCGACCAGAATTCAGACGTCGAGGTCCTGGCGCTACCATATTTAGCCCCCCTGGAAGGTCAGGGAGGTGGACCAGCGCTGGTTCCGGCCAGCAGGGAGGGCGGGCAGGTTCGAGGTTCTGGCTTCGGGCCGGGCTTTTTCGATGTTTGGTTTTCGGCCTCGGAGGGGGCCGTTGTCGGGCCTGGGGACCGCCGAAGACGGATCTGGGGTGGAAAGCTAAGCCAGGTGGACCACGGATTTGGCCTCCTGGCCCTCTCCTAACCGATGTTCTGGGGCCCCAACCAGTTCAGACCCCCCCGCCGCCTCCAGGGTGGGGCGAGGGGGAGGGGGGTTCGCTGCCGTAAGCCAGGGAAGATGAAACGACACCGATACGGTCGGACAGAGGTATAAGATCGAAGTCGGTTCGGGGAGGGTGCCCTACTGTTCCTCGTGTGTGTTTGACGTTCTTGTCTATCCAGGAGGAGGATACCCTCGTGTGATCTCATGGTTTGGGGTGCTTTAGCCAGCGGACGGTCTCATGTTCTTGATGGATGTCGTTCTGTCCGAGGTCCGACCGTGCCGCCGCTCCCAGGACCTCGCACGGGGCGCGTCCTGAGCAGGATTCCGAGGCGAGTCCGGCCGTGGCGGCGCGGAACGGGCAGCGGTTGCGGTATCATGTCCTCCCCCGTGGGTACGGGGGGGGGAAAGCCTCAGATCGGGACGGTCGAAATGGGTATGGAAAGAATGGGTACAATGTAAAGAAAGAATGGGCACGAAGACCTGCAGCAGTTCCTGTTCATTCTGAGCGAGGTTCGCTGTCGGTGTCGCCGCGGACGGTGTCCCTTGGAGACAGAACGCCGCCCGCCCCCAACACAGCGGCCGCCGTGGGTTCTGGACAGTACTCGCTGTTGGGCACTGTGCCAATTGTTCCGTACCCAGCTCGGGCGTCCAGATCAGATGTCCTGATGCTCTTCGGGGGTGGCAAGAACCCCCACCCCGACTCGTCAATTCGTGACTTGTCCGTTGTCGGTTCTCGAGAGGGCGCCGCCCGCATGTTCCAGGCCTGCGCCCGCCAGGTTTGGGCCCGACGTTGTCTTCACGAAGCCACGCTTTACGAAATGGGTTTTGGTCCATCCCCGAGCTCTCGACGAAGCGTATCGATAGAGCCTCTCTAGGCCCCTGTGCCTTGTCAGAAAGGTAGGCCCACGCGCACTCTCGCCACGTCCCTCCTCGACATGTTGCGCGCCGCGCGCGGAAGAGGCCGTGAAGGGGGGCGGGTTTCTGAGGAGTCTTTTCCGTTGTCCAGGGCCAGACTTAAGTCGGGCCTGTCCCTCTACAGGGGGAATATTAAAAAATAGTAAAAAAATAGCTAGAGGACGATTTTTTGATCATTTTGTGACATTTGGGGGCATTTTTTATTATTTTTATTGTTTCGTCCCCCCTGTAGGAGGACAGGCCCGACGTAAGGCCAGACCCTCTGTATACAGGCCCCCGGCTCCTAGAGTGGGTTCTAACACTCGCTCTGCATCTCACGTGGTGCAAGGACATCTGTGTGGTGCAAACTCAGGGGTGCAACCTGTGAGGCGAAGCCTGTGCCGTGCAAGCTATGCGATTACATTTGTGCGGCGCTATATGGAACGCATTCTGCGCAGTGCAATTTGGAGTGTCTTCGATTTGAAAGATTCGAGGTCGTCAAATCCGATGCTTGAGCAAACATCTCACTCATCCACCCACCCGCAACGTTTTGGCAGTACTCCTGGGGCCATGGTTACGCTTACCCATCGGAACTCGATGGCCCTACTCGCGCAAATCCATGGTCCAGGCGGGCGCGACATGATGAGAATGGGGGACAGTTAAACATTTTGCTAACACCAAGTGGTGGCATGCAGGCGCCGGCACGCGCGAGTGTGTGGACCACACAGGATTATTTGATGTGGTTGATGGGGGACAACAACATTATGTTGTTAGTCGGTGCGCGATTGTGTTCGAATGATTTCGGAATGCGCACGTCGGGGATCGCGCGTGCGACCCGCATGGTGTTATTCGACATGGATGACTGGACACCGAAGTGGGTTCCGCATGAGTTTAGCAAGTGTGCGCGCAGAGCAGTTCACAGCCTTGGCATTGACAACATGTTCTTGCATGTTCTTAGTGAACAGCTTCATATTGGGATGATATGGAGCCGTTCCTTTCTGAATTTGTTCGACATGCGCGCGCGGGGGGGGGGCGCGCACGCGTGGCCTGCCTGGCGCTGTTTGCTAAATATCCTTGCAAGGCGCGTTTGTTAGATCAACGCGTGTGGATTGCATTGCATTATTTGACAAGCTTGGCAAGGGAGTCGATAGCAGTCAGGCTGAGATGGTGTGGCTTGACCTATAGGATGAACAATCGTGCACGATACGCTGAAAAATCAATGCTCGGAGGGATATTGTTAAATCCGGCGCTGGCGTGGAAGTAGAGACGTTTCCTCTTTAGGAAGAAAGGTTTATATGGTGCAATGATTTTCGTCACATTCGCGCGTGACCATTCCATTGCTAGCGCGAACATCTCACCCACTTGCCCGCAGTTTGCTAGCATTACTCAGCTGTGTGACGACCAAGGAGTGCACGATGATCACGATGATGATGACGATGGTGATGATAATGACGATGATGGTGATGACGGTACTGACGATGATGGTGATGATGATGATAATGCTCATAACAATTGTAGGGGACGATGCCGACGACGACGATGGTGATGGTGATGAAGCTGACGGTGATGATACTCACGTTGGCAATAATTGCGCTGGCGATGATCATGTCAATTGTACTGGTGATACTGCGGAAGAAGTGTGCTCGAAGAAGCTTGACGAGAGCAAGATCGGCGATGACGGTTACGATAGCGGCGGTGATAATGATGATGATGACGACGATGCCGATTGCAGTGATGGTGTTGGCGATGATGAGTAGGATTGTGTTGGTGAGAATGATGAGGAAGTCCGCGACACATTCAAGCTCATTTGCTTAATTGTTGAAGGGCCAGTGTGTGTGTGTGTGTGTGTGTGTCGCATGTGTTTTGGGACAGCTGTGTTGAAGTTCGTCGAGCAACAATGGTTTTGCCAGGATTCCGACGTGCGCGAGCGGAGACGCGCGTGTGTGGTCCGAAGTGTTTATTTGACAAGCGAGAGCCGCACAATCCTTCAAACACCGAATGGGCATCAATGGTTCTGGCTTCTTCTGGCCCCCCTGGAGGGCCCCTTGGAGCCCTCTTTGGCCATGTTGAGGGCCTCTCGGGCCGTCGTGAGGCCGTCTTCAGAGCCTCTTGAGCCATATTGTGCCATCTGGAACCGTTTTGGTGTCGTCTTCGCTGACTGAGAAGCCGTCCTGGAGGCCATCTTGGCCGCTTGGATGCCAACAGGACAGCGGAGACGCAATTTCTGTGGGGCGATTTCCCGACCACGCATGCACTGGGAGGGGGGGGGGCTAGAACACATCAACCACCTTCCGTGCAGGCACCATTCCGTGCAGGCACTGCGGCGGGTTCTGTTCCTAAGATTCGAGCGAGTGCCCGCGCGCAGGAAATTGATACTCGTGGTGGAATAACAAATCGTGGGTTTCATCCATTTCGGACAGCTGAGTTCTGATACTGGTTGAGAAAATGACGTGATTATGCTGTTGATTTAGCGCGCGCCGCGGCGCGCACATGTGCCCAGCATAGTGTGTCTTGTTTGTTGAGGCTGTTCCTAGAGGACGCGCTGCTTGTTGCAACGCATGCGCACCGCATAGTATTTTATGCCAGGGATGGGGGGCTGGGGATGATACCAGGGGTGGCCAGCGTGCCAGTATGTAATGGCTTTCGGCCCATCCCGCCACCGTGCCTGGTTGTTGTGGGTCTGAGGCCTCTTGGATGTTCGCTGAGATCTCGTCAAAGACTCTCGGGGCCTCCTGGAAGCAGTTTTGATGCCTCTGGGGGACTGTTTTGGAGCCTCTTGGGGCCACTTTGGGCATCTCAGGGGGCTCTTGGAGCTAGTGGGGGCCTCCTGGGGGCTTCTTGGGGCCTCCGAGGGCCTCCTGGGTGCCTCTAGGGCAGAAGGGTCGGATTTTCAGCTTGTGTTCCCCCTCTTGGGGCCTTCTTGGGGCCCCCTTGGGGCCGTCGTGGGGCCTTTGGGGCCGTCTTGGGCGCCTCTTGGGCCATCTGTCTGGGCCGTCGCGGGGCCTTCTTGGGCCTTCTTGGGCTCTCTTGGGGATCCCTGGGGCCGTTTCAGGGCGGTCTCGGGGGCCCCTTGGGACGTCTTGGAGCGTCGGAAGCTCGAAAAGTGGAGAACCAGGAACCTCAGGAACACCAGTGATTGGGCCTCACGGGGCTCTCTTGGGAAGGCTTTTGGCGCGTCTCGAAGGCGTCTTGGGCTGTCTTGGGGCCATCTTGGGCGTCTTGGACCAATCGTGCGGCGCTTCGCAGCACCCTTGCGCCGTGTGGGCAGCCTTGTTGGGCCCTCTTGGCCCGTCTTCGGGCCCTCGGGGCCTGGCGGGAGCCCCCCGGGCACGCGGGGAACCCCAAGACAAGTTGCAATTTGCAGTCCAGGTCCCTGCAATAACCTGAGGCGTACGGGACTCAGGCCAAAGACCTGAGGACACTCCAGCTCGTGCCTC